ATTTGTTACTTGAAATTGATAATCATGAACTCATTTATTCCCTTCAAGCCCTGCAACAAGTCCAACGGGACATCTGGCCGAGCTTGAGGGCTCTTTACCCATCTAATTCCCCTCCCGAACCTCACCAGTACCAACCCGGTGATTGGGTGTATGTGTGGAGACATCGACAAGAAACTCTACAACCTCGCTGGAAAGGACCTTACATCGTGATCCTGACTACGCCCACCACCCTCAAAGTCGACGGAATAGCCTCCTGGATTCATCATACCCACACCCGCAAAGCCGATCCCGTCCTGGACCAGGAATGGAGCATCTCCAAGGACCCCAACAATCCACTCAAGCTAAAAATTCAGCGATATGGGCCTTACTAGTAGTACTGTTAATAACCAGTAACTATGTGAACCCCTCTTCTAGCCCGCACACACCCCAGCGACTGACCTGGACAATTACGTCGGCCACAGGGGACGTTATAAGCTCTATTACGGGCAACCACCCCCCCAATACCTGGTGGCCTGACCTGCATGTTGACTTATGCCAACTAGCAGCTGGATCCTGGGATATCTTAGATTGGGAACCCAACAAAAACGGTACTCCTGAATGTTCAGGCAAACCCATGTGCCAACAGTTATGTGCTTCTAGTGGAATCAATGGAGTAGGTTGTGGGCACCCTGAACTCTGCCACCAACTCTGTAAGTTACCATTTTACTTTTGCCCAGGGGGAAGAAAAGACAAACCTTTAGCGAACCAGTGTGTGTGTGGGGGTATCAGACTTTTATTGTAAAGCGTGGGGGTGTGAAACAACAGGAACCACTTACTGGGAACCTTCCTCAACTTGGGATCTCATCACTGTAGACAGGGATCATTCTGATGACGGATTAACTGTCAGTTCTTGTCAATCATCCGAATTCATGCAGAGGTTCCCAGCCAGAGGAAGCATGTATATTGGAGAAGGTCCATGTATGAGTTTCACCTGTAATCCTATTAGAATCCGATTTACAGAGCAAGGAAAACAGTATAAAGCCTGGGTAGCAGGCCGATCCTGGGGACTTCAGTTGTACCAGACAGGGTATGATAATGGAGTCATTTTCTATATTAAGCTAAAAATTGAATCCTGGACACCCCCTGTTGCAATCGGGCCCAACTCAGTGTTAGTCCCACAATCAGTACCCTCCCCACCCTCCAATAATCAAGACAACACGCCAGTCCAAAATTCGCCTCCCCGTGTCACCCCTTTAAGGGGCGACATATCAGTCCAAAGTTTACAAGAAGACCCCCTTTGGGAAGTTATGATCCAAACTTTCCACTTACTAAATTTACCCAATCTAATTTAACAAAGTCCTGTTGGCTATGCTATGATATCAAGCCCCCCTATTATGAAGGTATTACATTTGTAGGAAAACTCAACCAGTCAAAAACTCACGAAGCCTGTAGATGGCATCACAAAAAACCTGGACAACTCACCTTACTTTCTGTCACAG